TCATCAATCTGTTCCTTTGTATACTAATGATGACTAATCCTGTTATGTTTGCATTCAACTGTGTTCCTGCCACAAGATTGGACCTTTGGTGTCTCACATGTAAATACGTAAAAAAGATGGGTTCATACTCTCTTGCAAACACTTACATTGTATATATGAAGGTGCAGTCTAATCAATGATATTCACGTGACAGTGGTGTTCCTACCCTGTTTCCTGAATGCCCTGTTATCAGAATCTTTACTTCAAATTTCAACATAACTGTTACAACCACCTCTGACCTATATAATATTCATATTCTATATGCCATGCTAAGGAAAGGGTGTGTGTGTATGCACAGAAATAGGTTGTTATATAGTGCAAGGATATAGTGTTATATAGTGTCACAATGCAAGTATAGAATCATTTTCTTTTCTTTTCTTTTTCTTTTTTTTCTACCAGAAGGTTTTGTGATATTGGATCTATAAGAATAAAGTGTATGCTTTTTTGCCCCCAAGAAGGACAGGTGTTACTTGGGATACATTTTGCCAGGTTTTACAATCCATAAACATAACTATTGTTCCTTGAAGGAAATTAACGAGACATGCTGATAGTCCCTCAGCTGATTAAATATTTGACAACCATAATGCTTTTCTGATATGCGTATTCCTTCAGTGAGGGTATATAAAGGCTGGGGAAGGATTAGAGCACTTACTCGAATAGTAGAGAGACTTGCTAATGATACAATAGAAGCTGTAGGATATATGAGGATATGCAAGCTCTTTGTTGCCTTACAATACAGCATGGCATTAAATGACCTCCTTGATGAGAATGTTGTCATTTAAATGTTATGGGGTAGGTACATTTTCCCAGAAATAAGATTAAAGGGGTTGTGAAAGAATTGGCTGATTCTTTGACTATTCCTTAGGAATAGTGGGACTATGGTTTCGGCAGCTGGTTCAGCGCCTTTGGATCAAAAGTACTCCATAGGCTGGTGCTGGTTGTGATTGAATACTTAATTGTGTTCTCTCTGTTCTCCCTCCTTAGGTCCCTGCTCACTCAATGCCTTATCTCCTCCACTAATATGGTACAACAAAACAATAATGCTGTTGAGTCACAAATATTATATGTTGATATACACAGGCCTGAATCTCAATCTTGTGTGCAAGAATAATTACCAAGACTTAATGCACTCCTCTAAGATGACAACTATACGTCTGCTTACCTCAAAGTTGGATGTACTTTCTCCGTAGTACAATAGAGGGGACTGTGAACTCACAATTGCTCTTTTTCTAACTATTATGATCTGTGCTGACATCATTTTATTTGCCTGCATTTATTTAATATCTATATCTGGACTGTCCTGACAGATGCCATTGAGATTTGGTGGAGAGGGACCATTAAGGATGGGAGAAATTTTGGGAATACGTGCAATTGCCTTTTTTATGAAAGACACCAGTCTCTGTATGTGTTTTGCCAGGATGTGTTGCAGTGGCCATATGTCCAGACCAGGAAGGATTGCTGTTTTTAGCTTTTTCTTCTTTTAACCTTAAACGGTTATATCACCCCACTACAACTCACTACCAGTCCCCCAAGATTAGGTTCTGGATCTGCTCTGTATACATGTGTCTGTATGTCTCTGTATGACTATATGTTGGAGTATGACTGTGTATGTATACCTGTGTCTTTATGTCTCTATATGACTGTGTCCGTATATTTCTGTATGCCTTGTTCTGTATGTCTCTGTATGACTGTATCCATATGTCTCTGTATGCCTTGTTCTGTATATCTTTGTGTGACTATGTCTGTGTATATATGTCCCTGCATGCCTGTGTATGCATGTCTTTGCATGCCTGTATGTATCTGTATGCCTTGTTCTGTATGTCTCTGTATGCCTGCGTCTTTATGTCTCTGTATGACCGTATGTCTTTATTTCTCTATATGACAATGTTCTCATGCCTCTTTGTATGACTGTATGTCTGAGTTTGTATGACAGTGTACTTGTATGTGTTGATTGTATGACTGTGTGCCTGTATGACTGTGTTTTTTTTATTGTGTGCCTGCATATTTCTGTGACTTTGTGCCTGTCTTGCTATATATGTCTTGCTATATATCTATGCCCAAAGTTAATTTTCGCCTGTGTAGCCAAACATCCTTGCACCGGTCCTGTCTCCACCCAGCTGGGCATCCAGAGTGTTGATGTGGGGTCCCGTTGGGAACATGGTTATATCCGCAACAACTTATCTGTTTAAAAAAAATCTGTATTGCACAGCAGAATTTAACGCAACATGTGACACACACCAATAGAATACAATACAATTAAAACGGGGTCATAATGGAGTACCTCACATACATGCCCACCCACAGTAACACTGTGGTCCCCCCCTCCCCTTCCTTAGGCCATTACCCAAGTGGCAGTTGGGTATCAGCGCTCTGTGCATGTAGTTGGGGCCCAGTAAGCTGTTTGTAATTCACCTGATGGGTCTGGAAAACTGTAGAGGGCTTCCACTAATCAGTAAAAATAGGGGTCCAGTCTCTAAACTGTGCAGCCCAAAGTCAGGGTGCCCTGCTGTGTACAGGGAGAGAGTATGCAGGCTTTCCACACCAAATGTAATCAGGGCCAGTCAGAAGAGGAAACACTGCTTCTTGCTCCTTCTGTGATTTTCTTTCTCCTTCCCTAGCAAGACAGCAGCTCTCACTCCAGAAACTTCTTTCTCCCCCTTAGCAGGCTTCCTTCCCCTTCTTTCTCTGAACTGAAACTGCCAAAACTTCCAGCCAAAATTCAAATGGAGACCTACATACAGGGACGTATTAGCCGCGAGGCAAACAAGGCATTTGCCTTGGGCGGCATTTTTCAGGGGGCGGCAAAAAACGCCGCCCCCCCAAATGCCCAGGGCAAATGCCCAGTTAGCCTTGCGGCTAACTGACATCCCGGGCGGGCGGGCAGCGCTGGCAGGCGGGCGGCTGGCGAGGGAGCACTTCTTCTGAGCCGAAAATTAGTTCACGCACTCAACGACCAAGTACCGCTGCCTGCGTTTGGGAGACAAAATAGCCATGCATTATACGAATGGCGGCCACCCAGGAAAAGCACTCGAGTTAGCCACATAATTGCGGCTAACAGTCAGAGGTGGTCGGTGATCTGAGGTAATAAAAAGGGGACCACACATGTCCCATTTGGTTCACCAACAGGGGGATCCACATAAGTTTGGAAAGCTTGAAGATAGGTTTGGGCAACCCCAGGGAATTTTACAAGGTCCACCACAGTCAGCTGTAAGCAGGCAGATCAAGGACAGAGGCAGCATCTGCACACTTGAATACAAGTGAGATTTTACTATATTTAGGGAGGCTAGGGGGCGGGAGGCAAAAAGGTGGTATTAACCCGATAGGGGCAGAAATAAATGTTTGTGTACCTTACACTATAGTATTCCTTTAATGGGACACTATAGTCACCAGAACAACTACAGCTTAATGTAGTTGTTCTGGTGAGTATAGGCTGTCCCGGCAAGCTTTCTAATGTAAATGCTGCCTTTTTAGAGAAAAGGCAGTATTTGCATTACTTCTTAGTAACACCTCTAGTGGCAGTCACTCATATGGCCACTAGATGTGCTTCCTATATCAGTGCTGCACACTGTGCAGTTCTGACATTCAGCATCTAAAATCTCTGCATAAGTTGATGTATCTTTATGAGGAGATGATGATTGGTGCAGCGTTTTGCTGCACATGCGCAATAGTTTCCTAATGCCTTTGTTCTCCTGTGCCGACAGGGTGGTGAGCGTGTGTGGGGCCAGCCGTGAGGTGACTTCTGTGACCCTGGAAAATCACCTTTAACTCTTTTAACAGGGGGGTAGCAACCTAAACTGTTATTTTATTACATATTTCTATTCCCGACACAATAGTATTCTTTTAAAGACACACTCTGGGTACTAACAGAAGTTAAGTACATTTGATAGCTTTTGATAGGTTTCTGTCTCATTTTCATTGTGTGTTTCCATATTCATCCATTCAGTTTTGCAAAAAATAAAAAATAAAAAAAATGTATTCAATGTGAAAAAAACTACACCATGACTATTACCTAGTAATTTAAATCCTAACAAATGCACTTAAGCTGTTTTGGCATCTAAGGTGTATAGTGTCCTTTTAATGACGACCTCTGAATATTCACCTCCGATTTGGCTTGTATGAGTTTCTGAAAAAAAAAAAAAAATTTCAGTGAAAAAGCACATTTGTGAGTTTTAAGAAAGAAGAGACATGATTATGCATTAAAGGTTATTATTAATTGTATTTTTGTTTTGACTTTTATTCCCCACAGGAAAAAATGACAATATAAACCCACAAACAACACAACAATAAAAGTAAAAAGTACAACTAGAAAGAAATTAAAAAATATATATATTTACATAGAAAAGGAGTAAAAATAAATCATAAAAGAGACCATTTAAGATATTGAAATAAAAATAAAGTTTAGCCTGAGATTGTGCATACAGTATTGTTATGTGACTGCTCTACTTATCTCTGCCATAATAATTCTGTAATTCTAATAATTCTAAGGTACAAATTCCAATAAATAGTCAAACACGAAAAAAAAAAAAATGTTTGGTCTCTATAGTTTATTTCCATGAAAAACTAAAGAAACTAATCAGATAGGATTGGTGTGTCATAAATAGTTCTGCATACGAGCTTTAACATTCTGTTTCTGTTTATAGTAATACTCTATGTCTTCACGCCTAACAAAGAACACACTATCTTTCTACTAGCATAGTTGCCCAAGGCTGTAAAAAATCATAAAAGTTTAGCCACTGCAACATGTATTTGTTTAGGCATTCGAGCAATGACACTTATAATAAATCCAGCAACTTTCAGGAAAATGGAAGTGTTGCTTTGAGAAAGTCCCAGCAAATTGTTTGAATAATGGTATTTTCCCTGTGTTTGTTTCTGTACTGAGCATGATCAATTATGTGGGTGTGGGTGGGAAAAAAAACATATAAATAAATGTGGGTTTGGGTGACCTTCATTCAAGAACTATTGTTTGTGTAGAAAAGGTCTAAGACAAAAAACCACCATGGGTAAGGCATTTCTTGCCATCTTTTGCTCACTTCTGCTAATCCTGACTTGCGCCCAAGGTAAGGTTGCAGTTTAACTCTGAATTTTAAAAAAATAAAAAATGTTATTTAGAACTATAAATGTTTAATTGAAACATATCTTTCAACATTTCACATGGACAGAAGGGGACACTTTAATTTGTGAGAGTGGGGTTGGGCTGGGGTAGGCTGTTTTAATAAATGTTTTGTGACTTACTAATAACAATCTATGCCACTAAATTTCATTTAGAACAAGAATAATATCTTACTGATACAAACTGATTTCAAAACATATTTATGGTCATTTAAAGACACATTACTGTGAGTATTATTGCTGTGGTGCTCTGTTACACCAACAATATTGAACTCCTTGAAAAGAGGGACATTAGAAAAGATGGACAGAGGGATTTGGGCCAAAAATAGGGACTATCTGTCCTAAATAGGGACACTTCAGAGGCATGTTTTAGATATCAAAGAGTAAATATATAATAGATCTGTACATGCTCATTAATTCATATAAAACTTTATAGTTAGGTAAGATAAATTGGAAAGATGGGAAGAGTTTAGGTTTTGAAGCGAACAAATAGAAGATCTAGATGATACCTGCAAAGAAATGGGCATTAAGTAAGGTGATAAGACATCTGATCTATTATCTGTGCAATGTATATCTGTGTGTATATCTGTGGATGTATGTGTGTGTTTATGTCTTGAAGTTAAGACCTGACCTTAATTATGTATGTATTGATGTAAGGACAGACCAGTGCTCCTCAACCCTCTCCTCAAGGCGCACCTAACAGTCCAGGATTTAGGGATTACCCAGGTGCGTCTAATGTGTTTAAAAAAACAAAAAAACCTACACACTTTTGACGCTAAAGCTTCCCCCCCCTTTTTCTAAACACCTTAGACACACCTGGGTAATCCCTAAATCCTGGAGTGTTGGGTGTGCCTTGAGGAGAGGGTTGAGGAGCACTGGGACAGACCCACTATTGAGCCCTTCCACATTTTAAGTTCTAGAACCACCACTCTACTTCTTTACTCATTCTGTCCAAAATGTCTTGCCTGTTCTCTTCTCTCCTAACCTGTCTTCCCCCTGAATGCTCCCACGACTCTACTGAAAATTCACACTGTCAAAAGTAATTTATCTTGAAAGGAAAATAAGCTTAACACCTGCTAAGGAATGTACACGTTCTATGCAGACATCTTTAAGGTATTTTATATGTCTTTATGTTATGTCATATTAAGGGTGCATAAGTACACTGCCCTGCGCTAGCACCAGGCTTATCAAGTTTCCAAGTCACAGTGGTGCTGGTGAATAAATATAATCCTGGCCTCTAGAAAAGATTGTACATTGTTCTCCGACCCCAGTAAGGAATACCATTCTTTCACTGCATTCTAGTTACTAATTCTGAAGGAAGGGTCAGGGCTCCCACCCAACCAGTTATAATGAGAAGAATCATGAGCATTGGCTAGTTCAAGGCTACTTATCAGATAATAATGCAACTGGTTCACTTGTTTTAGCTCAGCTCAGCTCAGCTCAGCTCAAATCAATTGCATGAAAAAGCATTTTTTCCCCGAGTTCAACAGACAAAGGACTTAAGGGTCCAACTCAGGTCCGCTCAAGCCTATGTTTTACATTATTTGTGAGAACGTCATTTGCTATATGATGAGTGATGCTTTACTAGAGTTTGTGTTAACCTTCATTAAAATATTTTCCCCATCTCAGGTACTTTGAACTAAAATTGCCAATATATAAGTGAGAATTGCCAAAATAATAATAATTATATAATATATATAATAATGTCAGTTTTGTTTTCACTTTGTCTAATTTGGCCTTACATTTGAAAATCACTTTGAATTCCTATGAATTCTCAGTTTAACGAATAACCCTGTTAGAGAATAAACCCTATTGAAAATGCTCATGTTTATGCCTTAAAAAGTGAATTATAGTGAACTGAAAATTGAATTGGATATATTGCTGAGCTGGAGATTTTTTTCCAATGCTGCTATATTGACCTAAGTCACGTGGCAACTTTTGTTGCTTTCTTTTGTTACTTACTGCCTATACATTAATAATTTTTCCAGTGGAATTTAAATCCTTTACTGGCAGTAAACGCCATCGGTAGAGGTCACTGCACATTAACACCTATTGTACAGTTTGTTTCCTAAGATTATTGCCAATAATGGCTGCACCAGGCACTAAATATCCTTCAGTAGAACCAAATAGCCCTTAGTAGAACCAATATCAACAGTTCAAAACTTAATGGACCCTGTTGAACTCAGATATCAGAGTCCAAAACCCTTACGAGGCTAATGCAACCTTTATATTAATTTAACCTATTTCAGCTAGCGGGTTCTATTTAATAGAAAGAAAGCCTGTCATGTTTACCATTGTTTTAGTGCAATTCAGAAGCATTTTTATTTTAATGATTTTATTTCTGCGTATTAAAGTGTAGTAATTAGTTACTTTACATAACTACATTACATTTCATTCATAACTGTTTCAAAGAATAATATAATTACATAAGCAACAGAATTTTACATTTTTACAAACAAACTTTCAGTAGCATTATTAAATAAACAGGGAATTGTGCTGAAACGACAAAGAAATTGCAAAATGGAGTCCAATTTTATTAACCAAGGTGGACAAATTCTCTAACAAAAACTGGCTTAATTCATCACACTTTACTTTGTGTAAATAACTCTCCAAAATTGCTGTATAGTTAGTGATGAAATGCCCCACATCAAGTGACTAAGGAAATATATTCTTCTTGCAGGGCTGTCCATATTTGGGAGTCAGCGTTGCAGATGCAATGGACGTGGAGCAAATGCAGTGATTGTCAAGTCGATGGCAAGACTTGAAATCTTTCCAATAAGTGCCTCATGTGATAAACTGGACATCATGTAAGTTGCAGTTTCTTTTTGTGAATTGATGTGGTAGAATTATTTGTATTTTCCCAAGGGCCATAATCAGTATAGCCAGCTGGAGCCAGAATCTCTTGCAATATGTTTTTGAGGGCCAACTCATAGGCTGACCGTGTCAGCCAAATACTCAGACCGAGTGTTCAGTCAGCCTATAAACTAATCCCTACACAGCTAGCCTAGCTTAGTGAATGAGGTTCCGACTGAACAAACTTTTCTGTGACCTTTTTCATTGGCTTTATGTTGCCAGCTCTCCCCTGCTTCTAGAACATATCCTTAATACAAACGTCTTGATGTTCTTAAAATAAAAATAATCTTTTGTGCTATCATAAGCAGCCTTGGTCTGTGGGTTGCACTGTTTTGGTTACGAAATCTTGAAACCTTATATATAAAGATCAATAAATCTTTAACAAAAGCTCTCTAGGCTTAAAAGGGGCAGGGCCAACTGTTTCCTCGTTTTAAGGGACACTATAGTTACCAGAACCACTACAGCCTAATATAGGAGTTCTGGTGTCTACAGCCTGTCCCTGTAGGCTTTTCAATGTAAACGCTGCCTTTTCAGACAGCCGTTAGAGGTGCTTCATATCTAAATAGTTAGTTTAACACTATAGTATCAGTAATAGATGTTTGTATTCCTGACGCTATAGTGTTCCTTTAAATAAACTAATAAAGATAAAGAATAATATGAATACAAGTCCTCCTAATGCTCTTCCCACGGTCAGGACGTGACTGAACAATGCCAGGATACAGGAGTATACCATTACCCAGAACAAGTCCTCACGTGTTAAAAGGTTTAAAAACAAAACAAACAAAAAAAAAACAAGACTACATTAAATCCTATTTGTGTATTACTATCTTGCAGTGCTACAATGAAGTCGGGAACACAGATCTGCCTCAATCCATATTCTAAAATGGTGAAAGCAATGATTGCTAATGTGACCAAGAAGAAGTAAGTATTTTAAAATATAAAGATACCCAATATTATTTAACTGCTAGACATTTGCTGAAAACATGTATTTCCTAACTCTCCATCTGTTTGTGTGTGTCCATCTGAATATCATGAAGTGACTGGCCACATAAACACATTTAGGATCACTGACTAAAACAAAATTGTGGCGTATTGACCAATGAATTGAAAATATGGAACCAAAATAGTTGAACTGGAAAAATGATTCCACTCAGGTATTTTTCTATGAAAGCACAAGGAGGCCACATATTTTTAAAATAGTTTTCTGTCTTGTTATCTCAAGAAAACAACTGGTTTTCTTGAGATAACAAGTCAGAAAAAATATTAAAAATATATGACTCCCTGGGCTTCCGTATTTTCTAACTATTTTAGCAAAAATTTATCAATATCCTTGCGGTTTAGTAAACTAACCAGTAAAGAACACGACATTTCAATAGTGGATATAGTTCAAGTGGAACAAGTCTGGCATTTATAGCAGCACCAAAAACAGGCTAAGTAAATCCCATTACTATCCTTGTAATTTAAGTGACATTCCAGCATGGAAATGCTTTTTTAAATGTCAGATCCTCCCATTGCTCTCTGTTGCAATGCTGCACATGTCCAATGTATCAGATACAAAATTGCGGCAAACATAACTGTAATATCACTGTGTGAGTGTATATATACATATCATCATAATGTCAAGACACATGTATTGGGGAGAGGTCCTTACATTGTATCCTAAGCAAGTTAAGTAAGTGGTTGTGGTGATTTGAGCATCAATCAATATAATTGAACATGTTGTACGTTACAATTAAAGTAATTGTCTTTTTGTTGCATCACAGGGGGTATGTGAAATGAATGAACCTGAAGCAATCCAAAAATTGAAAATGTTACTAAGGCTTCAATCCTCGCTGCGTTTTTGGATTCACATGCATGGCAAAATATTAAACATATTAACCTGATACCAGCATATATACATTATAACTAAAATAAATGCATTCATAAAAGACACATAATGTACGCACATTTCTGAAAATGGTCAACAATCACATCTCAGGTCTGAAGTAAAGTGCTTCAAAGAAAAATGAAGGAAAGGTTTTGAAGTATTGTTTAATAGCTGATGTTCATAATGTGGGTCACAAGTCCTTACTAACAGGTGATCATATTCTCCTCGTGTTATCATTTTGGATGAGTGGAGTGGGCATCCATGATACTATAGTTGTGTCACACATCCAAATACTTCCTGTTTTTGTCCCTGCCCAATCTCTGTCTAAACCTTGGATCTTAACTATTGGATCTGGAGGACCCAACATTTGATCTCCATGCTATTCCACGGGGACCTATATGGATGGAGCCACACTCATTGCATGCAACAGCCCAAAATGATTAAGGCAGAAGCACTGCCCTTTGGACACTGGAAAAAGTAAAAAAAGAAATAAAGGCTTCTGAAGAATGGATTTTTCAAATATAGTATATATTGAAGCTAACCATACAGGCGAAGAATGCACAGATAAGCTGTCATGTTGACAGTTTGTGTTTCTTTCAAAAAAGGTTAAAAATTATTGGGCTAAACAATGCTTCTTCTTACTATCTTCATGAGAAATAATATATGATATAACGAAAAGGAAAGAGAGCTTTTTTCTTTTTATAGAGTTAGAATTGGAAACATAGAAACATAGAATGTGACGGCAGATAAGAACCATTCGGCCCATCTAGTCTGCCCAAATTAGTCACTATAATTAGAATTGCCGTGGTTGCAAAGTTATTTCACAATGAATTTGAAGTTTAAAGTCAAAGAAGCTAAACTGAGAACAGAGCTAACATGGAGATTATTTCTAATTTGGCAATTTAAGTCTCAACTAGAAAATTAACTTTGAATTAATTTTGAATCCCTGGTAATTCACAGTTTAGTAAATAACCCTTTACGAATCATTAAACCAGAACCTTTCCCAGTGTTACAGAAACAGAAATGCCTTACTGAATGTAAATATTCAGGGTACTATTCAGGTCTATTAAATGTTTGCCTCTTCTTTCTATTCTATCGTGAACAGAGTGGGCAGCAAGTCTGTCCCATGCACTAGAAGGCAGTGCCTTCATTAAATACGGGTAAAATTGTTCAAATGGGTTCTTTGGGTAAATGCAAGTGTGTTTGCTTTATTTATAAATGTATAATAGATGTAGCCATAATAAGAGTGAATGGTAACAAGATTATTTCAGATACAAAATATGAAGGGAAAAAAAAAATCTTCAGTTAGGCTATTTAGTTTTTTTCACATTTTAGTTATTGTGACCTAAACATCTCTAGTTTAGTAATGCATTAATAATAAACACTTGCTATAGTGGAACTCAAAAAAAGGGGAAATATTTTTTTTTATTTTTTATAATTCTTTATTTTGTCAATGACAGATGTAAGGGGAAATATTTTTAAATGGAACTATGTGCTTACTTTTACTGAGTATCTATTACTTGTAGATCTATTATTTTATAAAGAGCTGCAATAATTGTTGCCTCTTATGACATAAAGATTGTCACATACAGTAATCTGAATCATACATATTATTACATTGTCACATTTAAAATAATCTTTTTAAATAAAGTTTTTGTTTCAATCTTTGTCTCTTCATTTTCTAAATGAAAGCTCACGACAGTTCTGTACTAAACACACATGTGCTGAAATGACATAATGTAAATGTAACCAAAACAGCTTGGTCTGTGGGTTTGGTAAAAACCAACCAACCCAGGATCATTCAGTCCTAGTTCCTAATATTAACATGAAGCAAAGTTCTAAAAGCTTAACTATGGAAAAAAAATGGTGATTTCTCCATTTTAGAAAACTGCCCTACTTTTCTGTTAGCAACATTTTTATAATAGTGAGGAATTTTCTCTCGTCAGGAATTTCCCCTTGCCATGGTCTTTCTTATCAGTTTGCAAATCTCTGTATTTCTCCTTGTCTCTAAACCATATGATGAGGAGCCCCAATGAATGAGACAAGACAATGTAAGGTTCAAGGTGACTGCTAATGTTTAATGAACTGTGCAACAGGTTACATACAGCACGAAGGAGGGGTGGTCTTACAAGCATTATCCAATCCTAATAAAATCATCTATCTTATCTTAACATCTTAACCTATAGCAAGCTTGTAGGTGTACCTTCATGTTCGGGCCTTGCTCAAAGCTAAGTTTCACTATGACTACCCACTTAGAATTAACACATAGAATTAAAGATATTAACTACCCAGTTCTAAATTATACATTACTAAGCAGTTATGACCTAAGGGAGAAACACAGGAAATAAGGCCAACGTCACATACACACAGGATATAACACTAACACCTGTAGCACGATGTTCCATAGCTCTTGTCTAGGGGTATATTTACTAAGCATTTTATATAGACAAAGTGTATTATTTCAAATAGCTGACATGCTCCAAGTTAGCCAATTTTAAACAGACTGGCCATCCGGTCATCTGTAGCTTAAGCCTTGGGTCAGTATAGGCAAAGTGTATTATTCCCAACACCCACTTAGTACAGTGGTTCACCTTTTGTGTTAAATCGTAATAAAAGTGGCGTACACAAATGAAACATTTCCCACTATTCTTTGCAGGAAAAAGGTTGTGTGAAATATAATACTGTGTATTGTACAGTGATACGGAATCTGATGGCGCTATTTAAATAATAAAATAATAATAGATTACGATAGAAGTGTCAATATTAGATACTGGTCAGTTCCCCCAACCCCTCCTCAAAACAAAATCTACGTTATACTGAGAATAATGGACATTAAGCATAAAGAGTTAATCAAGGTGATGGTTCTGATTGCTTTACTTTAGTAACATTGCCACAGAACTGCTCTTATACATACTCTCCTCCCCTCCCCCCATGTATCTGATTTACAGCGCAATGCTAAATGCTCAGTGTGACGGAACTCCAGTACTCCAACTGAGTACCTCCACCAAGTCCACTTCATCATAGCTATCAGGGACCCTGGAGCACTTCAGAACCAGTTGCCGAGGCTTGACTGGGATCACTGAGGGCATTTTCCACTCTGGACCAAACACCAGATGACACTTGGTGAAGGTTAAAACAGCAACCAACTTTGCTAGACATAGCACACATATTTTGAGCTCCCAACAGCCTCATTTACATACAATAATGTGCATAGAGTACTATAGTACAAGGAAGGGTTGTGTCAGACAATAGCAAGGGCTGATGGAAATTGCAGAGGGACAGAGCAGCTAGTTTAAAATGGTGTGGCAGTGTCCCTGGGACAATGCCCTACTGGGGAAACAAAAGGGGTAGGGGAGAGGCACAGACAAGGAATACATTCGACATACCCTGCACCAATAAGGGGCACAGGGTGACCAAAACACAAGAGGATTCTGGGGACCCACACATAGTGTCTGTCTTTTATAGAAACATAGAATGTGACGGCAGATAAGAACCCATCTAGTCTGCCCAATTTTCTAAATACCTTTTCTTATAGTTAGGATAGCTTTATGCCTATCCCACACATGCTTAAACTCCTTTACTGTGTTAACCTCTACCACTTCATCCCCAGTGATGGTGACTACCATCACACTCAGGATTTCTTAGTAATGAATGCAAGAAATTCAGCACTATTGAGGAACATGGTACAACACACGTTGTATATTATTAATAATTTTAAGGCAAATCCAATTAAATAATCCAGTTAGAAGTCTCAGATTTAGAATCTTCCATTCAACAGGATTTTCTTTTCCCACCATATGTTGTACATGTGATCCTTGCCAAAATGAATATCAGTTAATATCATTGTTGTTAACTAAAGAGACCATGGAATGCCTTACTACAGGTATAGACAGTGCGACAGACCCACTATGCACACACATGGGTACAGGGGCGTATTAGCCGCGAGGCAAACAAGGCATTTGCCTTGGGGGGCATTTTTCAGGGGGCGGCAAAAAACGCCGCCCCCCAAATGCCCAGGACAAATGCCTAGTTAGCCTCGCGGCTAACAAACATGCCGGGCTGGGCGGGTGGCTGGCGAGGGAGCACTTCCCCTGAACTGACTGCTCAGCTACCTCGCGCGCCACCGAGTGAGGCTGGGAGCTGGAATATGGCGTCATCAACCACTCAGCGGCGCGCGAGGGAGCTGAGCTGCCCGCCAGCCCATCAGCCACTGGACCACCAGGAAGAGAGAGACCCCCCCCAGCACTCCCAAAGGTAAGGAGGCTGGAGGGGGTTAAATAAAAAGAAAAATAAATTTTGATGTGAGTGATTGTGTGTTTGTGTCTGACTGTGTGTGTGTGTTTGTGTCTGACTGTGTGTGTGTGTGTGTGTGCCTGACTGTGTGTGTGTTTGTGCCTGACTGTGTGTGTGTGTGTGTGTGTTTGTGCCTGACTGTGTGTGTGTGTTTGTGTCTGACTGTGTGTGTGTCTGACTGTGTGTGTTTGTGTCTGACTGTGTGTGTGTCTGACTGTGTGTGTGTCTGACTGTGTGTGTGTGTGTGTGTGTTTGTGTCTGACAGTGTGTTTGTGTGTGTTTGTGTCTGACAGTGTGTGTGTGTGTCTGACTGTGTGTGTGTGTGTGTGTTTGTGTCTGTCTGTCTGTGTGTGTGTGTTTGTGTCTGACTGTTTGTGTGTGTTTGTGTCTGACTGTTTGTGTGTGTATTTAGAAGGTGGGGCAGGGGGGAAGGGTTGGGTGGGGATGGCGCGGGGGTAGGGGGGTGCCTGAGCCTAGGGCAGCACAAAACCAGGATACACCACTGCATGGGTAATCCGGAGCACAAGGTCATAAACCTGTGTCAGGATATAGAACAAAGTACACTGAGAAGCCCTATAATAAAATCAGTCTTCTTTAAATGTTGGTGAGCAGGGAATTTAGTTATGCTTAGACTGATATTTACTAAAGAGGGAAGTTTATATAAATACTGAAACCACTAGTTTCAGTGGACTTGTTCTAAAAGAAAGTAACTGACTTTTCTGAATTTTTCTTGTGTCTTTTCATACCGAAAGCATTAACATTAAAGATCACTTATACAAAATTAATATTTTTTTAATTATATATCACAAGTTCAGGAAAGTCTTCACTGTCTTCTAATATCAATAAAAATTGATCTTCTGTTCATCATATGTCTAAGACTGCTTTCCAGTACATCACTTATCTTGCAGAGTTAGATTTATAACGAGCACCAAAATAATTAAATTTGACTGTTCAAATACCTGTGTAATGCCTTGGTTACTAAAACACAACTTAGCAATTTTACCACTTGCCTACAGCTTCTATAAATATTGGTTACAGGTACCTGCTTGCCCCGAGTCTCTAACTACAAAAATGATTAATATGGGACACGTGTGGTATATTGGGTGCCAAGAGTTTTTTTTAAACAATGTTTTAAAACATACAAGCCTCACTGATAATAGGATCTAGATCTTCATATTATACCAGTGGTTCCCAAACTTTTTAGGTTCAAGGGCCCCTTAATATTTCAATATTTTTCCAAGGTGCCTCAAGTCAAAACATTTTCTAGGTTGTATATATGTACAGTGCAGCGGCATAAACTGGGCCAGTGTTCGGCAGAAATGCTTGGCGTTCAAGCGCAGATCCATAACCTAATCTTGGAAGGGGCACTGGTAGATTATTTAAAGAAACAATCCAGGCAAAATAACCATTTGACAACTTACCTGGGATCTGCCAGGATAGAGGCTGTAGTAGGGGCTAGGGGCAGTAATGTGTGTGAGGGGTGCAATACGTGTGTGTGAGGGGTGCATGTGTGTGTGAGTGTGTGTGTGAAGGGTGGTGTGTGTGCATGTGAGGGGTGCAGTGAGTGTGAGGGGGTAATTTTGTGTGTGAAGGATGTAGTTTGTGTGTGTGTGTGAGGGGTGCAGTGTGTGTGTATGTGGGGCAGTGTGTGCTTGAAGGGTAAAGTGTGTGGGGTGGCAGGTTGTATGCGGGGTACAGTGTGTGTGAGGGGTACAGTGTGTTTGGGGGGCAGGTTGTGTGTATGGAGGGGCAGTGTGTGTGTATAGGAAAGTAATGTGTGTCTGGGGGTAATGTGTGTGTATGGGGGGGCAGTGTGTGTGTATGGGGGCAGTGTGTGAGTATGGGGGGTAATTGTGTGTATAGGGGCAGTGTGTGTGAATGTAGGAGCAGTGTGTGTATATGGGGGGAATTATTGTGTCTCTGTGTGGGTAGGAGAGCAAATTCATAAATATATAATTTATTTTTAATTAAAAATAATTATTTTCATATCCCCCCTCCTTTTTACCTTTAACTGGGAGGAGTGGATAGTACAGATCCCTGGTGGTTCGATAGGGAAGCCCTGGCGGTTCTAGTGAACTCTGGCCTGCAGCTCATATTTGGAGCATTGCCATGGTAACCGCGGCAACACTCTGTGCTCGTGAGAGGAGAACCCGGTGGAGCTGCAGATTAGAGCTCCCCCGGGTCCTCTCTCCCTCCCATCCCTGCCGGCTGCAGCATTACAGTGCAAGCGGGCCCGTGACGGAGATCTCTGATCTCCTCTCTGGTCCTGCAGTCATATGATCATAACACCAGGAAATTATCTTGCGGCGCCCGTGTGTGCCCAGCACACAG